CCAGAACATGGCCACACAGCCCGGAAGACCCACACCAGCCATAATACAGTGTTTACTTTTCTATATTAAGAAGATATTTGGAGAAATATCTGAACAATCTGTTACTTCAGGATATTGTGGTGGGGTGTTCTTAATGAAACATTTGCTTTAGAAAACATGTAAGAAGGAGGATAGCATGTGAGCACTGTTTCCTTTCCCTTATGTTTGGAGCCCCTACCCCGATTTTGTCTCCATTGAAACAACAGAACAAAGTTTTTTTACATTATTTACTCAGGGGCACCTATTTCTAAAAATACCAGTAAAGGTTTGTATTATAATTTAAACTTTTAGCAAACCACATTAGAAATTGCTATTGAAGTGATAGTAGCATTTTAATATTTATTACTTACAGTACATAAGTATCAGGTATTTTGTTCTTAATATTTTAATAAATTCAGGTATTCTCTAAAGCGCAGAATGATGATGGAAAGTATCTTGACATTTAAGAGACTAATTAAACCATAAATTAAACATCTCTAAAGCTATCTTTATGGTAGCTCAAGTTATGAAAATGGCATTTGATTTAATGGTTATCTTGAATGTGTCACATGACTGTACTTCAGGTATCAACCAAATATATGCCTTTGGTGCTAAATCTGAAGGCCATATTGATACAATATGAGATTTTTGCAATGTTTTTCCATCTACATTTGTTAGACATCAACAAACATGTTTGCCTTCCTAGTAATATGTCTATTTTCTAGTAACATGTATATTTTTCCTACAGAGGAAGATGCACATGGTGTTTATTCCAATCTGTTGTTCAAGCATTTCCTTGCAGAAGGAATAGTTTGTGGGCATAATTTATTTATTGCTTCAGATAAAGAGGAGCCTGGTGTTATTCTAAAGGTAAAGAAAAGTTTCTTTCATATGACTGTTTCTTAAAGTTTGTTTTAAAACTAATAGTTTTTTTGTTATCATAAACCAGAGTATCTTTTTATCTTTACCAATATTCCAGAATATCCTACTTGTCTATCAATTAATATAGGAGATTCAGAGAAATCCCAGAGAGAAATTCAATATTATGTTACATTCAAGAAAGTGCAACAATAAGAATAAAATAAATCACATGTGAGCTTGAAGATTTTGGCTTGTCGCCCTGGATATAAAAGCAATTGACTAATCCTCTTTATGCAGCATTCATTCTCCTTTGCATCTTCTGCTGACATTCTAACACTTGAAATTAACCCTAGTGGTTTGAAGTTGGTTAAGATAAAAGAAGATTGGGGGAAGGGAAATAAGAAAAATACAGATTTTCCCTCTGTCATATACATATTCCATTTTCCTCTTGCCCATCAATATGCAGCCCCTGATACATTTCACAATTGTTGGGTAAGGGTCAAATTCAGCATTTTAGCAGAGAAGTAAGTAGAGGACCAGATTAGGCATAACAGTGATGCAGACTGGAAGAAATTGTGTGGGGAGGGGGGTTAACTCTGCTGAGTTTGTGCTAGGGTTTACCCTGTAGCCCCTTGTGTTATCCACCTCATGATCAGATTTACAGCAGTTGTGGCTAGAGAGAGCTCCAGGCATGCAAAACACAGGTTGGAGGGCATTGATTGCCTAAGTCTGCACAAGACTCTTATGGCTCTCCTTCCCCAAAAAAGATTGCATCCATTTGCTTTATTAGTTTTTTTAATAGAATAGTTGATGGAGAAGAAAGATAATTTGTGAAGATGTCCTAGAACTGGATACAATCTATTTGTATGTGTAGTCTTATTAACAAGTTAAATTGCTAATTAAAGTTAAGTTGCTAATTAAAATGCTACACAAAAATATGCATTCTTAATAATTTAGTACAATTTTTTAATGGATCATAGAAGTACAGGTCCTTGAATTGGAATTAATTAATTAATTACATTAGCAATCCAGTATGTTATGATGGCTAAGTTGTTGTCCCCTATGTCTGGGGAAATGCAGGTTCCAGTCTACCCTAAGCCGTACAACAAGTGGCTTTAGGCCAGACATACTTTTTTAGCCCAGCCTATACCAAAAGATGGTTGCTGTGGGAAAAATTAGAGGAGGGAATGCTGGGGAATGTCACCCTGAGTTCCTGAAGGAAAGTTGGTATATAACCTAACTTACATTTTAATGAACTCTTTGCGGTATTTACTTTGTAATATTTTGTTTTTATTGCTTATATATTTTATTGCTTATATTTATTGCTTATATATTTTATTGCTTATATATTCATTTTATTGCTTATGTATAAAAACATTCATGTTTTTATGTGTGTATTAATTGCTACATTATGACTGACTATTTGCTGGACAATTTTATTATACTATGGAATGGGTTTTTCTTAATAACTATTTCCATACTGTACAAAAAGTTTTAGAGGGAACTGTTTGATAAAACAGTGTAAATTTCAGCTGTACTTACTTTGGTGCTTTGATCATGCTACATTTTTATTGAATAACCATCAGCTATAATGTTACAGCTCCTGGGACACAAAATATATTATATTTTCCCCTCCAAAGTCATGCTTACTGAGAATTTTAAGAATAGAGAATCTTTATTAGAGTGTAAATTTTAAAATTTCCATTGTCATTGACTTTCCATCATAATTATCAATTGTTACTTTACTGCCTAGAATATTGGTCACTTTTATACATAGATTGAATAGTAGCTATTTTTAACTTTAAATGGGAGTTTTTGGTTTTTCTGTAATCAAGAAAAATATTGCCTGTTCTAGAAAGAGAAAAAAGATTGTTTTATACACCATAATTATCTTAAAACTGTATGATAAAAGACAAGTGGAAAATAGAAATGTCCCATCAGCTACCAAAGGTATGTTATATTACCACCCAGTAATTTACCCATCATCTTTTGAAAACATATTCATGCCTATTGTAGTCAAAGCTTCTTTAGGAAGTCAGCATTAAGAGGTGACATTGTTGAAAAATTACACTCCTGTTAAAAATCCTTTGGAACTATATACAGAAAGTTTTAAGCAAGATTTTTTAAATGTTTCTGTTCCCTTGGTTCACCTGTCTTAACAGACAGCTGTGGTCCAACGTAAGAAATTACAAAGGAAAAATTAAGGCGAATCTGTAATAAATTATGGGGGGGTTGTATATAAAATAACATTCAGAAAGTGTTCTTGGAAAGACGACTTAAGCTAAAACGGATGAATGAATACAAAACACTGGCTAGAGAAGATATTGGAGTGCTGAACAGTGAAGAATATCTCACACAGCATTCATACAGTCACAGCTTTGAGGCCAAAGGGTAGCAGTTTGAAGCCTGCAGTTGTATTCCAGCTCGCAAGACTGGCTACAAAGGTTTTGCCGGGAAAGGAGCACGATAATACCCATGTATGTAAGCTGGTTAGAACTATTTCCATACTGGGATGGGAGTAGTGTCTTCTCTCACTTTTGCATCAGGACCCCTGATACAAACTGGGCTTTCCAAATGATTTAATTGAGTGTAAATTAATGTTGTGTTCTGTGCATACTCATCATATAAGTGCTTTTGGGAAAGACCTTTTGCAGATATGGACCTTGAAATCTTCATGGTTTTTAAATTTAAATTTTAATATGATTTTTAAAAAATAATAATAGGCTTGGTTTTTTCCCTTCAGTAGCTGCTTTATTATTATTATTATTATTATTATTATTATTATTATATTATGGTATTTATTCCGTTTTATTCATAAAATGTTTCTAAGATTTTCCTTTATTGATTTAGAAAATATGGAAAACTAAAATAAAAAAAGAATTACCTAATTTTTCACATATCTATGGATTATATGTTGAGATTTTAGTGAATAAAGGGAAAATGTATGAGGTTGGCTTAGACCATACCCTAAAAGTCTGAAGTTACATTAAAGAATGGCATATGTTTAATTCAAAATGTATTTTTCCTTTGAGTCAAACATCTATTAGATTTCAGTATATTTGTATGTAATATGCTTTGCATATGTGAAAATATTTATTCCTGCAGTTCAGATTAGGCACCTGTTAATATTTGTTTTCTGTTCTGAATATTTTAATAAACATGAGGCAGCTTTAAGATTAAATTTTTATGTGCAATCACCGTGACTCATTCATGGATTTTTACCAGAAGTCCAGAGAATGACTGGTTTTTAACAACGTTGTTAGTACAATACCTATATGGCAACTTTCTCTCTCCTTTTCACCTGAATCAGGGTAGGCTGTACAGATTTTTGACAGATGCCTGGAGGCAGTGGTGAAGTGGATGAGGGCCAGAAAACTAATGCTGAATCTAGAGAAGACAAAAGTGCTCTGGTTAGTTGATTTTTAAGCCTAGGAATTAGAAAGTTAGTCTCTCCTGGCTGAGGTAGTATTACATTGAATGAAACAGGGCCACACCTATTCCTTGAGTCCATCTCTCACTAAACTCACAGATAGCCTCATTGGCAAGAAAACCTGTAACCACCTGGACGGACAGGAGAGCATACCCTCATGGATCAGTGCTATGATAATCTGATGATGAGGTACATGTAAAACCTACCATTCCAGGAATGGAGCATTCCATAGGACTCTAGAATACTCCATTTCTCCAAACTGCTCAGGAGATTGTTTGCAGTGTTTAGACATGGCTGCATTACAAACAAATCCATGTTGTCCAGAACACCACACCCCAAACTTCAGAAACTTTCAGTTTAAAGGATGTACTTCAAGAAAATGTCTGGACCACCTTAGGACAGCATGATGTGGACTAAGAATGTTAATGTTTAAGCTACTTTAAACAAACTCCAGAAGCTATACCTAGTGTAGAACTCAGCTATGTTGTTAAATTTGTACACTAAATAGTTTGTGTCATAATAATCCTGAAAGCAACTTTGATTTCCTGTTAGCTATAAGGCTAAATTTAAAGTGCTGACACTGCTATATAAGGTCTTAGAAGACTCAGGACTCATACTTAAAGGATCACTTTCTCCGGTACTCCAGAACACAGAGAGGCATTGTTTCCGGCCCCAGAAGTTAGTTCAGTTCACAGCGTGGTGGCCAGAAATTGGGCTTTCCCATTAGTAGTGCCCTTGTTTGTTTGTTTGTTTGCTTCAATTTCTATAGCCACCCATCTCAATCCAAGTGACTCTGCTCAGCGAACAATTTCACAATCATTAAAATCATTAAAACAATTACAATTATACATATAGACAGTCGAGAATTATCATAATAATTACTTAAAAATTAACAGTGCAACCAGATAATGGGGCCTTTAACACGTTCAGGACCCGAGGCTTGGGCACATAGTTTAAAGCCTTATGAAAGGCTAGCAGGGTCGGGGCCATCCTGGGCTCCAAAGGAAGAATGTTCCAAAGGACAGGGGCAACTGCTGAGAAGGAATACATTCTGGTCCCTGCCAGCCAATATTCCTTGGCTGACAGGATCCACAGCATCCCCAATCTATTAGACTGAATTGGACAGGTAGAAACTATTGGGAGAAGATGGTCCCTTAGGTAACCTGGTCCCAAGCCATGCAGGGCTTTCAGGGTGACAACCAGCACCTTGAATTGCACCCAGAAACACACTTCAGGCTTAAGCTTCCCCCAGATAACCAAGCCAGACAAAGCCCCCATATCGTCATCAGATCTGCCCCAAAATAGAGCAAATGTGAGTGATTTTATGTGCCAGATGTCCAGCATATTCCTCACAGTGACCCGGTAGGTGAACTTCAGTATTATTCCCTCCTAGGAGGGACTGAGTCACCTGAAATAGGGTTGCTGGACAACTATCCGCAGATGCAATAAGGGGGGAGAAATAATTATGTTTTTCTGCCCTTACCACCACGAGGTAGGCTCTAATAGTGCCTCTAGCTCGTGTTCAGTCATCTTCGCTCCTTTTCTTCCCCCAGCAATTCTCTAGGCATCTCTTAGCTCTTTTAAGCTCCCTCAATTCTTCTATATACCATGGAGAACTGCAAAAGTCATCGGTGCAGAGAGGCCACTCAGGCGTGACCCAATCCAAAGCTGCAGCCATTCTATCATTCTGAGCAGCCATCAGCATTTCAGTCGAACCAAGTAGAAGGCTTTCCAGAACAACCCCAAGCTCCCTCTGGAACCCAGAGTGGGCCTCTCCAATAGGCCCAGGCTCCCTGCAGAGAGGGGTGCCACCAGAGAATTGGAGGCTCACCAGGGAGTGATCTGACTAAGGCAGGGGAGAAACCAATATCTCCCCCAATTTCAGAGCACCATGCCATTGCTCTGACAGAAAAACCAGGTCAGATGTATTACTGCTGTTATGTGTCAGGCCTTGGATGACCTGGGACAGGCCCATGGCTGCCATGATAGCCATGAGCTCCCAGGTCATCTCCAACCCCACGCCCAGGGAAGGCAGATTAAAGTCCCCCAAGACTGGGAAACCTCACCACCAGCCCAGTCATGGAGTCAAGAAGCTCAGGCAGGGAGGTTGCTATGCAGCAGGGAGGCTGGTACACTAACAACAGTCCGAACTGATCCCTATTAATGCCCAACTTAATAAGTAATGTCTCACACCTGGTAATCTGAGGAGCAAGGATCCTGGATGCCTCCCAGGTTTCTCAGTTGACCACCGCCATCCCACCTCCCCTACCCTGGGGTCTTGGCTGATGCCACACCCAGAAACCAGCTGGGCAATCTCAGAGAGGGCAACACCAACCCTCCTGTCCCAGCCAAGTCTAGGTAATACACACCAGATCGGCCTTTTCATCGACAAGTCGTGAATCAAGGTGGCTATTGTGTTATTGTGTAATAACACACCATTCTGGCATTCAGCAGCAGCAGCCAACAACCCAGGGACTTGAAAATCTGCCAGCCGGGGCCTGAGAGCAAGTTCAAGAAGCTGGAACGAGCCATAGGAACCACATTCCTGTGGTCTGGTCCCCGTGAGCGGCCCACTTCTTGTCTCCCGTCATATCTCCGTCTACCCGTCCATACTGAAATTTTAAAACCTGCCCTCATCTCTTCAGAGCCCTCCTTCCTCCCCTGTCTATATAGGTCCATGTCATAGCCTGTTGTCCCCCTTCCTCATACACACAATCCAACCACCACATAACCACAGGTCCTTAACAGAGGCACTTCTGCCTAGCACTTAGTGCCTCTGAACAGTTAAAAACTGTCAGGCCCAGCCCAAGAACGACGACGAAACAGTCCAGTCCAGTATAGTTCCTTTATTTGCTTACACCTTATGGACAGAATCTTGCCGAACTAAATCTATACTACACAACCAGTAGATATACCCTGGGAGATTCTAGGGAGTGGCTATCCTAAATCTCTTTCTCTTCTCATGTTCCCCCTGCAGACTGTGTTGCCTCTTGCCTCCTCCCCCCTCCTGGAATGCACCCCTTCCTTCCTGATAGCCTTGATCTCCCACATCACTCTCCTCCTCGTAGATACATTCCATCACAAGAACCCACTTTACTCATCCCAAGATCACTCTTGCAATGCCTCCAGCTAGTCTCCTCTCACTAGACTGCTGCGGTATAACCAACCAGCCAACTGATTAAAAAACCTCCCACCTGATACTAAATCCAACTCTCCCCCTATCCAGTCCTTTTCACAAGGTTTTCTTAAATTACAGGGTCTGCCACCAAGATAATCTGTGCCCTCCAGCTCCAATCAAAGTGGAGGCAAAATGGCTACCCAGCCATATGGGGAGGAGGGACTGCAGCCACAGTGGCCTTCCTGCATTCACCACAGCAAACCCTCACCACACCTCCCCGTGGCAACGACAGATGGGTAGCCATCTCCCGCACCTCGGCAGTCCCATTTGCCTTTCTCCGCAGCATAGCTGTCATCAGTCAGTGGGGGCCTCTTCCTCATCGGCCTCTCTCCCACGACCGTGCCTCCAGTCTCTGCCAGGCACCCGAAGCTCTTCCTGTGCTAGACAATTGACCTGGAGGCCCAGAGATCCAGTGCTCCTGCCACCACCACTGCAAGCTCCAATCCAACCGCTACCACCACCAGCTCCAACCCAGCTGCCACCGCCAGTGGTTCCAGTCTCTCTGGCCCGCCTCCCCAGTAAGGGAGGGGGCCCTTGGTGCCACATGTGCTGCCTTCCCAGGCTGCTGGGCCACTGATGCTGCATGCGCTGCCTTCCAAGTCGCCAGGCTGCCCAGGCAAAACTGTTACTCACCTGGGCCAAATAATCCACCCGCCCGATTTAGCTCACTTGGGAGACAATCTCCAAGGACTGCACAACAACTCCAACCACAGCAACACACCCCAGACCACCCACAACATACTAAAATCTATCCACTAATGGCCCCTATCCACAATTCTAATTGCACATCCTTGGCGCCTTGATGGGGGGAAAAAAAAGTTTCATTTGTTTTGGAAAAAAAGTTCTGTATCTGGGTCCCAGGCTGTCTTTTTTTATATAGCTACTGAAGACATTTAAATCTACTTTCAGATTGTCTGTTATTTTCTTTTTTTAATGAACCCTGTTAGAACTGTTGTATGTATTCTTAAGGATTTTTGCATTTATTATTATGTGCTTAATTAAGATAGTTTTCCCATTTTTCAAAAAAAAATTTCTAGGATTAAGAAGGTATAGAAATAAAAGAAATAAAGGTTCACCATTATAGGAGGAGAACTGTTTTAGTATATGGTAGCCAAAAATCAGGAGTCTGGTAGTACTTTTTATGAGGAACACATTTTAAAAGGCATAAGGTTTCATGAGCTGCAGCGTCTGATGAAGTGAACTGCAGCTCACAGAAGCTCGTACCTTTTAATAATGGTTCACCAGTAAATAAACGAGTTGAATGCAGTTCTAATAGTTCTATGGGCATAGCTAACACATTTTTGACAATCCCCCACTTTAGACCCCCACTTTATCTTGTTGCCTGAACCAGGAACACAAAAATTGGATGACACATAAACCATAGACAGAACTGGGAGTCAGCGTGGGGCAATCAGAGCAACATACACTGTACTATCATGCTGCTCATTCACTGCTGTGCCAAATGTGATCAAATTATGTCTTCCATTGGAAAATTTCCCATGTTTTCCCCCTGTTTCTACCATATTTTTCTTGCTACAGAAAATCTGTTTAAGGAGGGAAGGTAGAATACATTATGTTTTGATTGGTAGAATTATGAACCATCTGTCTAGAAGCTCCTGACAATTTCATCTAAATAAACATTGCTAGAAATAAATTTTATGGTCATTTCTTTATTTTAATGAACAATAAGTGTTCAGTTGTTTTGTCTACCAAATGTATTCCTTTTTAAATTTAATGTACTAGTTACTGTATGTAATATTTAACAATGAAATCGATTTATTTTTAATATATAATCCAGTATGTACTGATAAAAATAGTAGTTATTTATTCAGTTTTGAAATATTACTGTGTAAATATAATTTTAAACATTAATCAATAATTACAGACACTTTTAACTGCATCTGTGGATTTATCAGGCTGAAAAATCAGTGGATGCTTATCAGAAAAAACTAGTTTGGAGGTGCGTAAATAAATTATTATACATTTCAGCAATATTTTTTTTTTTAATTGGAAAGATTAAAGTGGGCTTTCCACATACAACATGGATTATATAACTAAATAATAGCACAGTAGTAGCCCTTCAGCATTTAAAATAGCTTAAAGAGAAGTATGATGTCGGTAGTTAGTGTAATGCATTGGTAATTAAGAGGCTGTGAGGTTAAGCTTCATTAACTGTTGTGGGATTGTGTCTTTGATTTTATTATACCTCAGAGAATAGGAGAAAAGAAAGAGGTCAGACTATTAGAATCTGACTTTGTTTAGTACATCTGCCAAAGAATGCAAGCAGAAATTCCTAACGGAGAGGAATATTAGAAATGCAAGATTTATTCCAGTATTAGATACAGGAGGAAATTCCTAAATATTTAGAGGTACAAAGGCACACTTTTTAATTACAGTAATCTTTTTCTCAGTTTTTTCCTCTGATCTTTTTGATTACAAGTCTTCCATTGCCATTGTGGGTTATGTGCATATGCACAAGAAAGACAGTATAATATAAAATATACATGACAGGGAGAAAGCTGTTCATCTGAGTTTATGATTTTAAATAGAATTATTCTTTCTTGTCTTAGAGCTGTTGGAAACCTGTGAAATTTCTTGTCTTTCTCTCTCCAAATAAATCCATGACCCTGCATGAGGGATATAGGTCCTAGATATCTATTGTTCTGTAACTGAATGAGTGTTATTCATAAAGATTTTATTCTCTATTTATTTATTCTCTATTCTAGCACATGTTTCTGTTTAGGCACATGCAGCAGGATTCTGTTCTGCTCTAGGGAGATTCCTAATGTGTGCAAACAGTGTGTAATCTTTCACTTATAAAGGTATACAATGTAATTGAATAGTTAAGATGATAATTAAATTGCTACTTGATAGTGTAAGATTATCTTATGTTTAAATGGGTTATTTTTGCATCTGCATAGATAAGAGTATTAGTCCACTTATTGCTATAAAGCTAGAGTACTACTAGAAAGCTTACTACTAGAAAGCTATTAGTCCACTTACTACTAGAAAGTTCACTCAAAACAGTGAGTTTTCTATTGGTTTATTGAGGATTTTTTTATATAGAGATTGGGTGGATGGTTGAATTTATTTTTAACCAAGCCTTTCCCAACCTAATGCCCACTAAATACATTGGGGTACAAATCTCATCAGCCTCAAGTTGGGAAAGACTGAGCTAATCTTTCCCTTAAAGGTTATATGTGTTTATCCCATCTTCACTTTATATTTTCAAGAATCATGTGATATATATGAGGAAGGTATTACAAAAGCCATGATCCTTCTAGGATAATACTGTCTGAGTGGGCATTCCTAGGATGAAATTGAGATACTTCAGAACAACTTTCTGGTTTATGTGTACAGTGGGGCAAAAAAGTATTTAGTCAGCCACCAATTGTGCAAGTTCTCCCACTTAAAAAGATGAGAGAGGCCTGTAATTTTCATCATAGGTATACCTCAACTATAAGAAAAAAAAGGGGAAAAAAAATCCCGAAAAT